CTGAGGGATCCTCCACGTAATAAATGGTGAGTTATTGACGTGGGTCTTGTGTGTGTATGTGTGTGTGTTTTTGTGTGTGTGACCTGTGGTGAAATGGTCAGCATCCTGCCCGAGTTCGATCCTCGGGCAGGGTGAAACTATGGGCAAGTTTCTTTACGCCATTTGCCTCTGTCTACCCAGCAGTAATTGGTACTCTGGATGTTAATCGATTTGCGGATCGTGTTTCGGGGTAATGGTTAGCCAGTGCAGTTGGCGAGCTGTCCAGTCTTCTCGGACTATTCCTTGACACTGGGTCATGCAGCTCGTTAACTTAGGGTGAGGTTGTTGTGTTGGCGACAGCTTCTACACTTTAACAAATTCACGCCTAGGAGGCCCTTGGGCCGGCCATCCTCGATTTCGAGGGGCTTCCATTATAATGTGTGTGTGTGTGCGCGCTATATAATCCACTATGGATGTGGTAATCATTATTTTACTTGGACTGATGGATGACACGTAGGAGTGGATGTCGTCGCTCTATATGCGCCGGATGAATGTTGGAGGAGGTGACGACGGGTAGCATGAATAAGGTGGTTTACATTCTACCTTACCTATCATGCCTATGGCGACTGTATCCTGCCTACTGTTCGTATCACGGTGATAGCATGCCAGGTTCGTATAATCTAGCATGGAATGGCGTACAAATAAAGAGATGAACATTTAATATACGATATAATGGACGTTACTAGTGAGCTTTGGGTATTACAAGTGGCTGGTACAGGTCGATGGTGATAGTATAGTGAGTAACCATAATGACTGGCCCATCCACAGGTCGAGCGTAGTGTGGGTAGAGGTCCTTGTGGACAGCGGCTCACTCAGTAGCAACTCACACACCAACACAGCATAAGACCCTTGAATACTTATCACTAGTCGTTCAGGTCATACCTCCTTTTACTCTGAATATAAGGTAACTTTTACTACTCCCACTAACATGAAATAAATAAATTATAATTTATGTCTACTGGAGCAGTAACATGTCCACTACCCACCAGTAAAAGGACACAGCATCAATTTGGGAATATGTCTGAGGCCAACGCAGGAGTATCTGGTGATGTCCCGCACTACATGATCTTGTCAGGGCCACAGTACAGCAGCAAGCCAAGTCTCATGCTATATGTTAACAGATACAGTCCTCTGATACACTGAACACACCGTCGGGCTGTCAGTACCACTCATCCTGGCCGTGAAGATTATCACCTCATTAGCTGCCTGTTTGTAAATATTAAACTATGAAACATCTACACCACACCTCTAACCAGTGGTAATTAATGTTAATATTACTGATACCATAATGTGAAGCATCCGGCAATAAGTTACTAGGTACTACAAGCCTTATAACATTACATGAATTACTGAGGACTATATGCCTATATACTTTATATAAGTTACTTAGGACTATATAACTATAACATTAGTTTATATCTCTCACCCAGCGAGGATAATAGAAATAATGAAATATCAGTACTTGTGATCGTAATTCAAAACTTGTGCACCAGCTGACTAACGTCTCAGGTTGACTCACTGTATCTCCTTAACTCACAGAAACAAACACCAAAGTCTCGGTGTGTTGTGGACGCCACTATAAAATAAGTAATAATATATCAAGATATGACAGTAGATACTCTTAGCGTCACTAGCCAGTGTTGCCTCTCTGTCTTAAAGAGAAATAGAGGAAAAGTCTCAACCTTACTCGGGGGTCCAGCGGGACCTTCGCTAGCATCACTCCTTGGGGACGTGAGACGGCTGTTCTGGCCCTCTCGGCGGAGTCCTGAAGACCCTCAGTTGCTTCAGCACCTAAGGAGATTGGCGAAGAAGGGTGGCCTATGGGATCCAATCGGCGGAGTTCCTGACGGTTCCGGGCTGCCCTTGCCAATACATGCTAGCAGTGTTTCGTAAGTAAAAGTATTTCGGCCTAAACAATCTAAATTTTTAATGGCCATCAATGTTGTTCCTCGTGCGAGCAGCCGGGCCCACGATCACTTGTTACCATCTATACCACTTACAGATTGATCATAATTTCATAATTGAAAGAAAATTAACTACTGCTACGCTTCAGGATTCACTTCCCTTAAGGATGACGTTGCATTAAGACACATAAAAATAACTACTTTGTATTATAATAATAAGCCACCTTTTATTGTCTGTTGTCACTCTTAGTTGTTAATGGCACCTGACACCTTAATAGTACAGCAGTCTGATATGATGAATTACCTGTAGGGGTCATAAATATGCCCGGCTCTACAGTGTATAGCATCATGACTTGTTTTATTAGTACATGGGATATTTCTCAATGTATATGGATAAAATTTGGAACTTGTATTATATGAACTAATGAACAAATTCTCATCTTTCAGTTTTTGTAATATAAACAATGAGATTCCTTAGACTAGGTACAAGTAAAAAATAAAATATTTTCCTCTCCTATGGTACGATTGTATATATCAATTGAATATTTAAACGCGTTATGTTATGACTCATAACATATCGTTGCTCATAAGTTATGAGCAACGATAGCCTACTGTTTCACTGACAATAATTTGACATAAGATACAATAATTTAAAATAAGGGATTTTCAACAGCCTATTGATTACTGAACCGTGTATATCAAGTTATCTCAAGAACCTAGAGTATGGCGCCTCCCTCACTACTCTCTGAAACAGCTTCAGTAAGTAAGGCTGCAGTTCAGATGCGAACTTTCAAGAGTTCAATGTAGTATTGTACATTAAGCTGTGGTTTGCACACACTGTCCTGTCAGGAGCCTTGAGTTTCATACACGTACACACATTAATTTTGTTTTGCTAACTATCAGTATGTAATTTCAACCTAACCTAATTATCAATGAGTTATTTAACCTAACATAATATAACCTAAACTACTTATGCCAACCCAACATAACCTAAGAAATCGACCCAACAAAACTATCATGAAATAATTCAACCTAACCTAACCTAACCCAAGCTCATATTTGTCTCCGGCTGAAGTATACCTGACCACCTTTATGTCGTCCCATTAGGAAGCTGATGAGTCTGTGTTATATTTGTTCCTCATTACAAAACGAAATAAATCTTTAAATAATGGTACAGCGGACGACACACACCTATTGCTGTGTTTGGTGACGCGTTGGTTAATGGTGACGTGTAGGTTAATGTTGACTCGTAGGTTAATGGTGACGTGTAGGTTAATGGTGACGTGTAGCATAAGAGTAAAGTGCTGGTTAATGGTGAGGTGTTGGTTAATGGTGACGTGTTGGTTTATGTTGACCTGTTAGTTAATGGTGACGTGTTAGTTAATGGCAACGCCTTGGTTAATCGTGACGAGTTGATGGTTAATGGTGACGTGCTGGCTAATGATGACGTGTTGGTTAATGATCTCCCCACTTCATTTTGCTAAGGGTCAAGACTCGTGTTCCTGCCTCACTTCCAACCTACACCGCCTCACTCACCCCTCTGGCAGGTAACACACTCTGGTCCCGCACCCCTCTGGCAGTTAACACACTCTGGTCCCACAACCCTCTGGCAGGTAACACACTCTGGTCCCACAACCCTCTGGCAGGTAACACACTCTGGTTCCACACCCCTCTGGCAGGTAACACACTCTGGTCCCACAACCCTCTGGCAGGTAACACACTCTGGTCCCACAACCCTCTGGCAGGTAACACACTCTGGTCCCACAACCCTCTGGCAGGTAAAAAAAAAATAACACTTAGTTAATATTTGTTAATGTTAGGTTAAGTTAGTTTAACTTTTCTATTTCACAATTCATTAATACCTAATATGATGAAGTACATGATCGCCGATGGCTAGTTAGAAGCTTAAAATAATACATAGAAGTTATCGATATAAGGCAATTATCCCTGTTTAGTTTAAGCTTTTACAAATCATCAATCGTTTTTGTCAAATAGAGATAACTTTTTGGTTTTACTACTACAACTTAATATAAATTCGTATATTGTAAGATTTTGTATATTTCTTTTCAGGACTTGCTTACTGCCATATGATGTTTAATTTATACTTTAAATAGGTTAGGTTAGGTTTGGTCAGGTCAGGTTACATTTTGTTTGAAGGTATTCATTTATTTGTACATTTATGATCTACAGGATCGTTTATGGCCGGTGAAAAATTTCCCAAAAAGAGAAATACCTAGAATTTATCACTAATCGTCATTTATGCATATTTAGTGTAACATATAGTATATATTCCGTTTATATTTGTTTGTTTTCATATTATTTTAGTCAATTATTTGTTGACATTAAATTACAATAAGTAAATATTATTAAAAACAACACTGAAAAACACACAAGTGACTTTGTAACATATAATTAGGTCAAGATAATAATACAAATACAACGTGCTGGTCAATCTCCGAAAGAGTTGTCCGGGGGTCTAGCTAACCTCTGGTCGGGGCTTGACCAGCACGAAAAAAAACAAAAAATTATTTTGGTGATACGTGGTGTAATGGTCAGCATGCTCGACTTTTAAGCGAGTCGACCCGAGTTCGATTCCCAAGCAGGGTAGGACTGTTTTTTTTTTTTTTTTTTTACGTCATTTGTCTCTGTCGACCCAGCAGTAATTAGCGACCTGGATGTTAATCGATTAGTGGATTGTGATCGGGATAATGGTTAGCCAGTGCAGTTGGCGAGTTGTCCAGTCTTCTCGGATTATTCCTTGACGCTAGGTCATGCAACTCGTTAACTTAGGGCAGTGATTCCCAACGTGGGGCCTACGCCCCACTGGGGGGCAATTCAATAATAATAGGGGGGCAATATGAAAAATATAGTAATATCAACATTTTTATTTTATTTTACCCTATATGGGTAAAAATTATAAATTTATAGGGTAAAATTGTAATTACAACCTAGCTGAGCACAACAGCTTGTGCAATCTAGTCAAGTGTTCACCCACTAATGTTATCGTGCATCTGGCACCAGCTATATGCGTGGCTTCTGACTTGTTTAACTTTGCAGTTCTTCATCTGCTGTCAAGGAAGAAGGTGAGTTTTAGTCAGCTGCTCAACGCTCCCACTGAAGCTAAAAAAGCAGAGGAAACTAACTACAACCAAATTAAATGTGCACAATAAAGCATGGAAGCAGTATTGAATTAAACACAAATGCAAGTTTCATGTTGATATAGTTATCTGTCTCTGTTTTTTAGCTTCACTGAGAGGGCTGGTTAAAGTGCTTTTCATTATGATTATTGATCTTGTTATTCTCTGAAAATAATGTATAAAAATAATCATTCATTGATCTTGTCACAGTAACATTAATTTAAAACTGTGAATATAAAGCTCAATATTTACTTGAAATGGCAACTGCATATTGACATTGTGCCTTGTATGTTACAGAAGTTAGATATTAAATTTATTTTCCTAAGTATATAAATATTTTATTTTCACTTTTCAGTTACCCCCATGATGCATAAAATGAACAGTGTGCACGCCAAAGAAAAAGTTCGCCAGTATTCAGATGAGTACTTGCTGTTTGGGTTCATACCAGCGACTCATGATGAAAGGTTGCCTTTTTGTCTGTTGTGCCACCAATGTTTGACTAATGAATCCATGAAGAGAGGTCGTCTCGAAAATCATTTGAAGGCAAAACACAGTATTCATGTTAATTCAAAACTGGAGTATTTTAAATCCCTAAAGGAGAAGTTTGAAAAAAGATCAACAATAAATTCATTGTTCTCTGCAAGAAGTGCAAGCAAGGATCGTGGTCTTGAGGCTAGTTATGAAATTTCTCTTCTCATAGCAAAATGTTGCAAAAATCATACAATAGGGGAGAATTTAATTAAGCCCGCAATGTCAACTTTTCTGAAAGTAGTTCTTGAAAAAGATGACCAAGATCTCAAAAGCATGCCGCTCAGTAATAATACTGTTAGTAGCAGGATTGATGAAATGAGTTGTGATGTAGAAGTACAACTTGTTGAAAAATTAAAATATACAAATTTTTCAATACAGTTGGACGAATCAACTGTAAGAGATAGTGAAGCTCTGTTAATGGCCTATGTAAGATATGTTGATAATGGAGAATTTATTGAGGATATGCTATTTTGCGAAGCATTAGAAACCACCACTATTGCAATTGATAAATATAAGAAATTAAAAACATATTTAGATGATAAGCAGATACCAATGGAGAACATTATATCTTGTGATGATGGGCAAGAAAAATGGAGTTTTAAAATTATTGAAAGACGACAATCCCCAAATGTTGTTAGTGCATTGTGTTATTCATAGACAGAATTTAGTTTCCAAAAAAGTTTCCCCTGTTCTAAACGAGACATTGAATGCAGTTATAAAATGCATCAACACTATAAAAGCTAATGCCAAATGTGAGCGTCTTTTCAAACAATTTTGCTAGGATCAAAATGCAGACTATGTAAGATTATTACTTCATACTGATGTAAGGTGGTTATCAAATGGGAATTGCCTGAAAAGATTCATGGAATTATTTGTATTCTTAGTGAGTTCTTGGATGACAAACCTTATATGACTCTGTGACTGACAGTTGATGGTAAAGCACTTGTCAGTTATTTAGCAGATATATTTGAAAAACTCAATGTCTTAAATAAGGAGCTCCAAGGAACAAATATGACTCTTGTTAATTCAAAGGCCAAGATATTTGGCTTTATATCATTTCTGGAATTATCCCAAGAAAATATTTCTGTCAAAAAATTTGAACAATTTTATTGGCTGAATAAATGTGAGGTAACAGATGCTACTTGTCTTGTTATTGTGGAGCACTTAAAAATAATGGTAAGCGATTTCAACTTCAAATTTTCTGATTTGAAAGAAATTAATTATCCATCTTGGATGACTCAGCCATTGCTAGTGGATCTGTCAGATGTAACCATGGAATATCAAGGAGAACTTTCAGAATTACAAAATGATGACTCGATTAAAGCCCTGTTCAAAATAAAAGGAACAATGATGTGGCTCTGTGAAGAAACACAAGCTAAATATCCAAATACAAGTAGTTTGGCAAGAAAACTACTGTTACCATTCCCATCGTCATACTTAGTGGAATGTGGATTTAGTGCTGTGAATGACTTATTACTGAAGAAAAGAAACCGACTGGATATCACTAAACGAGGCGACTTGAGATTGAAATTAACAAAATTTCTGCCTCGGATAAAATCTCTTTGCAGTAGACATCAGGCTCAAGGGTCTCATTAATTGATTGTAATTGAATTTATTTAATCTGATGGTAGATATGTAATACACATTATAAAATGGATTTTATTTGATTAAATTTGAAGTTAACCCCTTTAGTTTTATTTGAAATATACAATTTTTTATGTTATACTTCTTCAAAACTGATATTGTTATATCATACTAAACAATTAACGGGTGGGGGACATGAAGAAATTTGTGATAAAAAAGTGGGGCATGGTACTAAAATGGTTGGGAACCACTGACTTAGGGTGTGGTAGTTGTGCTGTCTATAGCTTCTACACGTTAAACAAATTCACGCCTTGGGCCTGCCCATCCTCGTACACGAGGGGCAACCATTAAAATTACTTGAGTAAATGTTATAAGTATATACTGCAGTTAGTCTATAGTATAAAAGACAAAGAACATCAAAATATATATATTTAGTTCCAGGGTTTATTTAGTTATTTATTACTTGCACTTATTACTGGTATTTGTTTTCCTCTCTTCTGTATAGTTTAAATCTTTACTGTTGTTTTGAGTAACTTTAGATTTAATTATTTTTCTCCGAAACTTACGTCTTTTACATTTTTTTCAGAATACATCATAATATCATATCACCCATGATGATTATCCTGTATGTAAAACGAAAAAAATGATAACACTTAGTTAATATTTGTTAATGTTAGGTTAAGTTAGTTTAAGTTTTCCATTTCACAATAATTAATACCTAATATGATGACGTACATGATCGCCGCTGGCCATTCAGAAGCTTAAAATAATACATAGAAGTTATCGATATTAGGCAATTATCCCTGTTTAGTTTAAGCTTTTACAAATCATCAATCGATTTTGTCAAATAGAGAAAACTTTTTGGTTTTATTATTACAACTTAATATTAATTCGTATATTGTAAGATTTTGTATATTTCTTTTCAGCCCTTGCTTACTGCCATATGATGTTTAATTTATACTTTAAATAGGTTAGGTTAGGTTTGGTCAGGTCAGGTTACATTTTATATGAAGATATTCATTTATTTGTACATCCTCCTACACTCATTTTCGTCTCCTAACTTCGTCTAACAGTAACGTATAAAAGTTTCTGACCTGAAATGTATCGCCAAACTCCTTTAAGTTTGTCCCTGTGAAAGTTTCTAGCGACGAGGAATAAGTTTCAGAATATATCACTTGTGGGGGTACTGGTGTAACATTAATCGGGCACTTTTTTCTACGAGAGGCGTATAAATACTTCTGATCAGGGAAGTTATTATCAAATTTCACAGGCTTAGCGAAGTAGAAGCTTATGTACTGAAGAACTTTTGAACTTGTCAGGACGCAAGAGAGGGAGGTATGTGTGTGTGAGTGTGACTGTAATTTTCCTCTATGTATTTACGCATGTGCACTCATGTATATTTGAACACATGAGATTATGTAGTGTTACTCTATACATTCGGGCAATAACATCATCCAGTAAGAGCCTTCACTAAGACTCACTGTATGATAGACTTTGATCCACACACTGTATCAGCAAATGTATTTATATGTTGATCCTGGACGGCTACGAGTCACCAGCGACCCTAAATCATATGGCCATTAAAAGTGTAATTTGTACACAGTAAACAGTCTAGTAAACTTATTTGAATAGACACCAAGTTTACCGTAATCATTTGTTTGAAACCCATTGAGTAGATCAGTGCACTTACATGCCTCTAGATGGAGTGTGTGTGTTATATGTGTTTAACCCCATGTACCAGTGTTGAGTTTAATGGATCACTGTTCCTGGAATGTATTTTGTTTTTACTGTAAAGCTGAAGTTTGTTTCCATACGATTAGATATTGTATTTCCTTATTCTTGATCATTCCTTTGCCAAATAAGTACATTGCGTCATCTACATAAATTGTGAAAGCTTCTGTAAACACGTTATTTTTCTATTTGCCTGGGATAGTATTAGCGCCAAGTTATTATTAATTTGTGTAGATGAGTACACTTTTAATAAAAAAAATCCGCTGGTGCATTTATTATTTTCTTATGGCAAGAGTAAGGTACATATTTGTAACTTTGTGTATTATGTAGTTAACTATGTTTGAGGCATTAGTGCTTTACACCATGAAGTAGGTACAGCACATCATAAAACTTAAGCTTTCAGAAATTAAAAAACAAAAATAAGACCTCCTTCCCTGCTGCCTTACACATACTGTGGCTCTAACTCTCCTGTCCGTTGTGATTTTCCACCCTGTCCGACCCTCCACTGTGTCAGCTGACGTGTTCAAACAAAAGAACGTCGGTTTCCGCAGTTACAGACATCAAGTTCTAACCATCTATTATTCTTCATCACTTCAAACCTCATAGTTTTCAATTCAATTAGTTTCAATGATAAATTATAATTAAACCCTTTCTGTCAAGGAGTATAATTAAATTAAAAGTATCGCAAACGTTTCCAAACGAACACTGGCGCACAACCCTGGTGCCTACAACTTATAGCATCCACATCGATACCTTTTCCCGGGCTACCTGCCTCTTCTCCCTAGCTTATATCCTCACCAGGCAGGAGTCCTCCTCTCCCTACTACACCATAACTTCATAACCCAGGTATGTAATGTATCCTCGCTGGCACCAGAATAGGAAGCCCATGTTATTCTCCGTTAACCTCACAACTTGCCCAAACTCTAGCAGTCAGTCTCAGTGCGGTTATTCGGGCGACCAGACCACACACATGCCGCCGGCCGCCCAGCACCTGCAGGGAGAGCGATAAGGGAGGGAGGTAGTGAAACTCACTCTCAGGACTCTACAACACCCCCGGGGAGAGAGGCAGAGTTTTAACCCTCACCCAGAACAGCTTACGTTTCTCCACGAATCAGATTTAGTTAGACAGCAGTAATGTGTAACACCTGGAGTTATTGTTATTATCAATTAGTTTAGAGTGTAATAACAGTAATTACAATTAACATGTATGCTTTAGAGAAACATTCTGTGTAGGACAGTGAGTGAGAGTTAGAATAAAGAACTATATTATATTTTAATGATGGTGATATATTGACGTTACCATTTGTTGAGCCTTAGGACAAAAAAAAACATTTATTCTTACTAATCTTGCGTAATTCAGTACAATGATTAGTAAATTAATAGTTGCCATTGAAATCACTGTACCGACATGTTTGATTGATTGATTGTAATAGACATGTCGTAACGGTCGCATAGTTAATTATTGGTATTTGGTAATTCTTAGAAACTTATGAGTATATGTCATAATAATTTTCAATGGGATCAAAGTAAGGTTTCACAAATATTTTAATATTCAGGCGGTAGATATATTTTAAGAAGTCTGGGTTTGAGAGGAGTGCATGGTGGTGGTCTCAGTGGGTCTGGGTATCGCAAGTTGTACGTCTGTTTGGTCCGGAATTTTAATTTATAATCATGGTAATGTAAATCCGTTGGTAGTTAGTACGTACAGTATATACCCATACTAATTGGTAAATATTTCCGCTAATTTTTTTTTAATAACACTAAACCTCCAGCCATCCATTAACTTGAAAATAGTCATAGTTGTATAAACACGACCAAAAGAAAATCCTATTTGAAGTTTAGCCACTCAAGTGCTACCTGGGCGGGCAAGTCCTTAGATGATTCATAAATGTTAAAATTGCGAAGGATCTTGATCTCAACTTTTAAAAATCTCGATCTCGGGAAAAAAAATAGATTTCTTGCTCAAGTAAAGTATGAGGAGTCACCCAAGACCTTAGCCTAATTCTCTGGTAACACATAAGTAAACACACTAGAGCTATAGCCACAGTCAGGTAATAAAAATACTCTTTTTTGGGGTTACATATAATATAAAATTGATAACGATTAGGTAAAAAAATGTTACTCTCATATTTTAAGTATATTTACTTTTTCTACTCCTTTAGGATCAAATAAATGTAAACATTCAAAGCCCGGAATAGAGGCAACCAACTGTCACCTTGTCAGTCTAAGATATCTGTTTTCAAATAGGGATTCAATTTTTGTTTTGTAAAGAAAAAATACTCTACGTTATTTAGTATTTCCTGATGAGCCCTTTAGTTTTAGGTTACATTAAAATATATAGAAAACAATTTGAGGATTATATTTGATATATTCTAATAGAACTTTATCTTTGTATATTAATCTTGGTAACACGTACAGATGTTTCATGGTAGTGATAATTTTAGTCTAAGTAAAATATCACGTGAAACAGCATCTATTAAGCGATTACTCCACAATACAGATTTATCTCTACACGGTCATTATTCCCTTATCAAACTGGTGTTTTATTATGGGTACGGGTTTACTCCACCCACTAGTTACGAGGGCATAATAAGGTTAAAAACGTTTAGAAGCTCGCCTGATGCTCAGTACATTCCGTGTTGTTGTAGCTAATGGTAATAATTTAACAAGATAAAGTCACTTAAGGCCGATGACCTGAATTAATCCAAATTTAAGTGTATTTCAAATGGGAAATAGTATCAGGCATCCTTAACCATGGAAATTAGAAGCTGTTTTGATTAGTAGTCCAGACCAGGTGTGTCCGTCACTGATGGCCTTATAGGTGATGGGAGGTTCGCCCACATACACATCAGTCAAAAGAAACTCACTGCGTGTACCGGATAGTTCCTCTCCATAATGATTTTTTTTAAGTATGTGTTAGTAATCGCGAAGTTAGTCTCATCATGTATACTTCCCATCTGAATTATTTTAAACTGGTTTATAGCCTGTGTCGGTGTCTACACTATCACTCTACTTCTCTACCAGAGCTTCTCAACTGGGGAACCACAAAGTATTTTCTAGAGGGTCGACGGATTGAAAACATAGATGGTCTTGGAGATGCCACGCGTTATAAAACAATTACTAAATACTTCTTCTTAATAAAGTTGATACAATTCTGAGAGAGTATTTCACTTCCTCATTCACCGACTTATTAAATTACTGTATGGTTATAATGGAATCATTTTATTGATAAAGTATATATATTCTTCATTGCTCTGCTTATTGTATTAGTATAAGAATAA